AGCGAGCTTCTGCAAAGCGCAAATGGGTGCTACGTTCCCCCTGCCTCTTCCAAAGTGCAAACACGCGCACCTCTTCCTCCTCCTCCTCCTCCCCCTGCCTACAGCGAGCTTCTGCAAAGCGCAAATGGGCGCTACGTTCCCCCTGCCTCTTCCAAAGTGCAAACACGCACGCCTCCTCCTCCCCTGCCTACAGCGAGCTTCTGCAAAGCGCAAATGGGTGCTACTTTCCCCCTGCCTCTTCCAAAGTGCAAACACGCGCACCTCTTCCTCCTCCTCCTCCTCCTCCCCCTGCCTACAGCGAGCTTCTGCAAAGTGCAAAGGCACTGCGGCCTCCCCTCCGGCCCCGGCCAGGGTGCTGGGGCTGAAGTAGAGGTCCAGGGTGGCGGGGGCGGGCTGAGGCTGCTGAAGCGGGGCAGGGCCACCAGGAGCCTGGCAGCCAGTGAGGTGGAAGATGAAGAGGAGGAGGTGCAGGGCAAGAGAAGCAGGGGGGCTCTTCTGGTGCAAAGATGCCCTGAAAGCGTCACTTGATTCGGAAGAAGTGAGGATTGGGGCTGGAATGGGCTCACTTGGATCGGACGGGGAGCTGTCCGGATAGCCGAGCTCAGGGGCTCCCTTTGAAGAAGGGGATCCCTTCTGGTCATCCTGGGGAGAGGCACCATTCCTGGTAAATCCCCTCCCCCAAAAAATAATAAAGCGGGGGGGAACTCCTCCAAACTTTAACCAGCGCCCTCATAGAAGGCGGGCAGCGGAGGGATGGGAAACTTCCATGGAGGGATCAGAACTTCCAGCTGTTTCTGGGAGGATCTGCCGGCTCGTTGCTTTTCCCGCTCTCTCTCCTTTTGTTTGTTTTTAGGCGTGCTACTCACCTTTCCCGCCTGTTTCCTTTGCGGCCGGCCAGGCTCGTCTTTGCCTCTGCCCTGCACGGCTGTCCTGCTCACGCATGCAATCGGCCTTCGCGCCGGCACTCCTGCCAGTGCCCGCAATCTGCCCGGCCTCCCCTTTGGCCCTGGGCAGCACCTCTGCCCTGCGCAGCTGGCTGGATCAGCCTCTGCACCGCCGCCTCCGCCATAGCTCCATGAGGCAGAGGCAAGGCAGCTTAACCAGGCAGCCGCCACCCCCATGCCTTTCGCCATCCCCATTACTGCCCCCGTTGCCCCTTGTCTTTCTTCTCCCCTGCGCGGCCGGCCACTGTAGCCTCTCGCCTACTCCCAGACTGCACATGTGCGGAGAGCTGCGCATGCGCGAAGAGGAGGCAACAGTTCGGCCCAGCAATGGCTCGCATTTAGGTTTTAGGTTTTAGGTTTTATTCAATTTATACCCCGCCCTTCTCCTAGCGGACTCAGGGCGGCTTACAGCAAGTTAAAAAACAGACAAACCATACAAAATACTAAGTTTAAAATACAATTAAAATGAAATATTGATTTTTTTGCCATTTCTTTTTAAAATTATGTTAAAAACCAAATTAAAACCAAATTAAAATCAAATTAAAATATCCCTTAGGCCAGTCCCGCTAGCTGGAATAGCCATGTCTTGAGGGCGTGGCGGGAGGGGAGATCCGGAATGACCCGGATCTCTGGGGGTAATTCGTTCCATAGGGAGGGGGCTCCGACCGAGAAGGCCCTCCCCCTGGGGGTCGCCAGCCGGCACTGTCTGACTGACGGCACCCTGAGGAGACCCTCTCTGTGGGAGCATATCGGCCGATGAGAGGTAATCTGTGGCAGAAGGCGGTCTCGGAGATAACCAGGTCCGATGCCATGGCGCGCTTTAAAGATGATAATCAACACCTTGAAGCACACCCGAAAAGCCACCGGTAGCCAGTGCAGTTCGCGCAGCAGCGGCGTTACATGGGAGCGACGAGTCACTCCCATCACCGCTCGCGCGGCTGCATTCTGGACTAACTGGAGCTTCCGAGTGCTCCTCAAGGGGAGCCCCATGTAGAGAGCATTGCAGTAGTCCAGGCGGGAGGTGACAAGGGCGTGAGTAACTGTGCGCAAGGCATCCCGGTCCAGAAAAGGTCGCAACTGGCGAACCAGGCGTACCCGGTAAAACGCCCCCCTGGCCACGGCCGTCAACTGATCTTCTAGTGTCAGCCGTGGATCCAGGAGGACACCCAGATTGCGTACCCTCTCTGAGGGAGCCAAAGTTTCGCCCCCTATAGTCAGCGACGGAGTCA